CTTATCTATTTAAAGACTATGTATTACTTTTCTTATATTAACATAAATTGTAAAATTTATTAATGTTGTAATGTATGTAAGTGGATATTTTACAGTTCAAAAACTTATTTAAATAAAAGTAAATGTTTTTTTAAAGAAAGTGTATTGTGTATGTAAATTAGATGATGTCGATGGAATGAGCGTAACTGCTCTTAAAATAAGATTATTAGATATTTTGGCGCTTTGATAACTTCAATAAGATAACAGAGATGTTTTTTTTTCTTATTTTAAACATAAATCATCTTAATTCATTGACAAAGTGTCTCCTTTAACAGCTCAATTTAAAGAAAAATACACTTATTATAAGAAAAATGTAGATATATTTTCGCATTGTAGCTTCTCTATGTTTTACTTTCTGTTACTCTCCCAATGTAAGATGACAGGGGGAAAAAAACAACTAGAATCTATGTTTTTTATTGAGTTATAATGACAGCATGAGAGCATTCATCCTCAAAAAGTTCATGGAAACACAAAAAACAAAAAAATGAATGTGTGGAGAAGTGTGAACTATGTGTGAGTGTTTTTTTTTTCAGAACTGGATCTGCTACAGCTGTCTCCCTGTGCTGCTGGAATTTGGTGGCGGAGGTGGAGGATTCTCCAAAGGCCTTTGTGGAGCACCATTGTGCCTGGAAGCCACTGGGGCGTAGTGCTGTCAACCGAACACAGCCAAGGAGGGGACACAAGGAGCGGTGCAGCATTGAGGGATGGGGGAACAACGGAAAAGGTTAGAGAGCTGCAGGCAGCGTGTGTGCTGAGTTGACAACAAAAGGAGGAGGACAGGGCAGAAGAGAGGGGACGGGAACAAATGTACCAGATGGAAAATTACAAAAAGGAGGGCTAAGTAATGAGCCTGACTGAAAATTTCTGGGAAATTCCCTTTTTTATCTAACATATCCCAAAATAAATCAGATCAGGACCTGATGCCTTACTTTGTCTTTAATATCTTCAGGCATTTATGATCATATTGATGCAATGAGCACTAACAAAGAGCTGCATTAACCTTTACAAACAACCATTTGACATTTTGAAATGGTGTTAGTGAATCCAAGGCATGCAATAGAAAATTTAATAAGCAGTCAAATAAAACAAGAGTCTCATATTTATCTATTATTTGTTTTTCTGTCCTTCTCATCCACTCTTCCTTTGAAATCCCACTTTCTAGCCTAGAACTGAAAAGAAATGCCAGAATCTATTTCATGGGGGATTATCTCAGTACAATCTGATACTTTAAGTAGAGGGATTATAGGCAGCTAACCTCTACGGCAGCTCCTCATTCAGCCAGAGATCTCTTGACAAGTAATCAATCGTGAATGACTGGCTAAAGATAAACACAAGATCGTATTTTTGTTTGTTCAAAGCATATATTCACTGAACACACTTGTGATTTGAGGAATCTTCTGGGATGCACAGCCAGCCTTTCTGCACTCCTCATATTGTCCATTTACCTACTGTATGTGCAGTTCTCTGTCTCTGACTCCACTCTGTGTTTTTCCATCTGTTTCCTCAGGCTAGCACAGAGGTGCTTAACTCTAAGCAGCCTGGCTGAACCCTCCACCTTCCACAGTGAGCTCCAGAATCAGGAAGGGGAGACTCGCTGCACCTTTCATTAGATTTCCCAAATCCAATTGTTTTTCGGTGAGTCAAAGGCCAGATGACGCTGTGATGTTTGTAGGAGTAGCTCGGCGGGCTGTTGAGGGACGTTTGGTCTCACAAAAGACGAAACAACACCCATCAGATATGAGAGCAGCCACCTGTTTTCTACTGATTCAGATTAGCCGGTTTACTTTCTGAGGGCGCAACAAAGACACCTGGCACAGCCAAAGAGATCCAGTATCTCTTCACTTCCTTTTTCTCTTCAAGCACACCGCTCTTGCATCCAAACAATAAAGTCAGTCAATCAGACTACTCCCCCTGCCTTTCTTCCTCTCTGTCCGCCGCTCTCATCTCCTGCCCAGACTGTAATCTCTGGTGGCTTATCAGAGCATCGCTGAGTGAAGTTTTATCTGACCCACCAGGTGTCACAGCCAAACGATCCCAGTGCTCACTGCAGCTCCCCCCTGGCCTTACACACATTGATTCGGATGACGCCGGCCAATAATTGAAAGGACATCCATCACACTTTTAATTGACACAGCTAATCAGCTTTTATAATTGGATAGGCTCTACTGTAGTATCTCTCCAAAATGCCCTCTCTTTCCATGCACTCCATACCAATTTGATCCTCCCCCTCCTCTCTCTCCTCCCTCCCTGCATCCTCCACTTCCACTTGACTTAATTGCACAACTTTTGATTCTCTTTGTCTGTGACCTCTCATCATGATTGACACCTGCCTGTGGATAACCTATAGATGTGATGAGGTTTTTTTTTTCTTCCAGAGATGACCGCAAGGCAATCTTTGTTTGTCTCCTGAGCTTTCACTTCAGCTTGTTAGATTTGCTTCAAGGCTGCCAGGTTAAGGATCAGTTACAGTACTGACTAGAGATGGACCGCAATACTTCATCTCCTCTAAGGCAATGTACCTGTCCTCCATTAATGTTTGCATTCTTGCCATAATGTATAAAGTCAGAATTCTGCAGAAAGTGCACACATTTATCA